AACACCCATGGTATATTTCACACGTAAGATCATATACTGGGTTACCTGGCTTTATTAACCAAGGCAACAAAAAGGTTGATCATCTTATCTCCTGCAACACAGCTTCCATTGGACACCTAGAACAAGCCCGTATGCTACACCAAAAATTTCATGTGTCAGAAAGCAACATAAAATTGCTTTTCCCAGAGCTAACAATGAGCCAATGCAAACACCTAGTGCACTCTTGCAAGAATTGTGCACTCCTCACCACGTTAGGCCCACTGCAACAATCAGGAGTGAACCCGCGAGGCCTTGCTCCTAATAAGCTCTGGCAAGTGGATGTCACCCACATTAACTCCTTTGGTAAACTTAAGTTTGTCCACGTGGTGGTAGATGCTTATTCAAAGGCTGTATTTGTAACAGCCCAATTCAGAGAAAAGGCTAGTAATGCGATAAAGGCGGTTAAATCAGCCATGCTGGTCCTTGGTGTCCCCTGGACCATAAAGACTGATAACGGGCCAGCGTATACATCACAGGAATTTAATTCCTTCCAGAAATCCTGGAACATACAGTCTACCACAGGCATCCCATACAACCCACAGGGACAGGCAATCATTGAAAGAACTCATAGGACGATTAAAGATCTCTTACAAAGACAGGAAAACAATCATATGCCCCCAGACCCACAGCTTGCTTTGACCGAGGTCCTTTTCACTATCAGTTTTCTTTGTTTTGATTCCCAAAATGTCAGCCCAGCTTATAAACACTGGGGATCTTTTCCATCCCAGACCCCAGCCCCTATGGTTACGTGGAAAGACCCCCTGACAGGAGAATGGAAGGGACCACACCCTCTGCTAACCAAGGGTCAAGGGTATGCTTCTGTCTTTCCAGAGAATGCGGGACAGCCCATTTGGGTAACAGCAAGAAACATCAAGCCTGCAACTGACAGCCAACCAGAACCAGCTGAACAGGACTGAGAGTCTGCCTTGTTAGCAGATGCACCTGCCCTAGCATCCTACCCTGAGGAACTGCCCATATCCACATCCATTACTATTACTGTTTTATACCCACTAGCTCTGGTCAGCCACTCAAACGGCCCACAGCCTGTGTGCAGTCAAGCCATTCCTAATTAACATTGTTCCTCATTCCTACCCCTATCTGAACAAGCACTCCTGTGGTCTCTAGATTTGAGTGCTGGTTAGTCAACAACAGGTAAGATCCCCTGGGGGGTAACCTAAGACAGGCACAGCCACGTATGAAGACCACATGGAAACGGGGTCAACAATGGTATGGCTAAGAATCTTGCCTCCCGTTGCTCAAAAATAAACGAAAAGGGGGAAATGTGGTGGAATGAGAAGGCCATGCCAAGATGGCCGCTGGCAACAGAGTCTGCCTGGCAACAGGCTGTGATTGGATGGTTTCAGAAACCACATGACATGGAGTCTGCCTAGCAAAAGGCTGTGATTGGATGGCTTCAGAAACCACATGACAGTGGAGGCTGCCTGGCAACAGGCTGTGATTGGATGGTTTCAGAAACTGCCTGGCAACAGGGTGTGATTGGTTAGGGCATAGACTGCCCCTTGACCGGATTGGTTGCCTTGGCTATATAAGCTGTTGTAGCAACTGAAATAAACGAGTCTGCAGGCTGCTTGCCTCAGGCCTGCTTTCACCTGACTCCTGGGGTCTGTGTGGTGACTCTGCGCCTCTTGCCCTCACCATGCTCCTCCTCGCAGAAATGAATCCATTGCAACACAGATGGAGTTCCATTCTCTTGGCTGTGGCCTGGCCTAAGCCCAGCCATTTTGGCCATTTGGGAAGTGAACAAGCAGATGTAAAATCTCTCTCCCTGTAACTGTGATTTTCAAAGAAATAAATCTTTCAGAAAAGAAAAAGAAACACATGTTCCACATCGGAGTACCTGAGTTCAATTCTTGGTTCTTGCTCCTGACTCCAACTTCCTCCTAATATAGACCTTAGAGGCAGCAGTGATGATTCAAGTGATTGGGTCCCTGATGCCCGCAGGGGAGATCTGGATTGCATTCCATCCCCAGACAGTGCTGTTGCAGTCATTTGGGGAGTAACCCAGCAGAGAGAACACTATGCCTCTCCCAATTAAAAAAGAAAACATAAAACAACAAATATATAAATGAAAATGGAAAAAAACCCAAATGACTAGTAAGAGTGGTTTGGTTAAATAAATATGGCATAATATAGATATGATAAGTCATCATTAGAAACTATATGTAATGAGAAGGAGAAAGCAAAACTACTGCCCAATCCATGCCTAAATGGCATGATGGTGCAGCACTGCTTGTGATGTCAGCACCCCTTATCAGAGCCCTGGTTTGAATTCTGGCTGCTCTGATCCCAATCCAGCCCCCTGCTAATATGCCTGGGAAAGCAGTGGAAGATAGCTCCAGTACTTTGTGCCTGCCACTTTACGTGGGAGACCTGAACTGTTTTCCTAGCTTCAGCCTGGCCCAGTGTTGCTTTTGCAGGTGTTTGAGGAGTAAACCATCAGACTGGCTCGCTCGCACTCGTTTGCTCTCTCTTTCTCTCTTTCTCTCTATGCTTCTCAAATAAATAAAAAATTTAACAGAGAGGCTGGTGTTATGGTGCAGGCTAAGCCTCCACCTGTGATGCCAGCATCCTATATCAAAGCACCAGTTCAAATCCCAGCTGCTCTGTTTCCCTTCCAGCTCCCTGCTAATGTGTCTGGGAAAGCAGCAGAACTTGGTCAGGTACTTGGGCCCCTGCCACCCACATGGGAGACCTGGTTGGAGTTTCAGGCTCCTGGGTTCAGCTTGGCCCAGCGCCAGCTTTTGCAGCCATTTGAAGAGTGAAACAGTAGACAGAAGAGAGAGAGAGAGAATACACACACACACACACTCCCTTCCCCTTGCCTCTCCTCTCCTCTCCCCTCCTCTTCCTTTCCCTTGCCCTCTCTCCCTTTTTCCCTGCCTCAATTGACCCTTGAGACAGAGGATTATCTTCTTTTTTTTTTGACAGGCAGAGTGGACAGTAAGAGAGAGAGAGACAGAGAGAAAGGTCCTCCTTTTCTGTTGGTTCACCCCGCAATGGCTGCTGCGGCCGGCGCGCTGCAACCAGTGCACTGCACTGATCCGAAGCCAGGAGCCAGGTGCCTCTCCTGGTCTCCCATGCGGGTGCAGGGCCCAAGGACTTGGGCAATCCTCCACTGCATTCCACGGCCACAGCAGAGAGCTGGACTGGAAGAGGAGCAACAGGAACAGAATCCGCTGCCCCAACCGGGACTAGAACGCGGCGTGCCAGCGCCGCAGGCGGAGGATTAGCCTAGTGAGTCTCGGCGCTGGCCGAGGATTATCTTCTGAATTATTTCATCCTTTCTTCCCAGGATCTGTCAGTACAAACCTTTGATTTTGTTTCCTATTTTGATGGTGTAATCAATTTATGCCTTTACTGTAAAGAACTAGGGGCTGCCTCAGGTGAGGTTTTCCCTGGAATATCGGGATGATCCCAAGATCAGGCTTGCAGTGCCAGAGCGGTTGTTTAACAGTATAAACTGGACACTGGTCAAACAAGAGTCATAAGAAAGGCACACTGCAAACACTCACAGTGGTTAAGATGGGGGTTAAGGAACCCACATCCCATATAAGGTTGCCTGTGCTCCATTCCGGGCTCTGCTCTCAGTTCTACCTCTGAATCCAGCTTCATGCTAAGGCATACCCTGGGAGACAGACAGTTATGACTGAAGTAGTTGCTTCCCTACCACTGATGTGGGAGGCCTGGATCGAGTTCCTGGCTCCTGGCTTCAGCCTGGTCCAACCCCAGCCTTTGCAAGCATTTGGTGAATGACCTGCCAGATAGGAACTTGGTCTGTCTATTTTGCTTTATCTCTGTATCCTTTTCTGTGTCTCTCTCAGCCTCTCAAATAATACAAAACAAAATAAGGCCATGCAGATAATTAGTCATACAAGATGAAATATTTTTAGAGATCTGCTGTACATTTTGTTTATAGTTAACTATACTATACTGTACACTTAAAAATTGTCAAGAAGATAGATATCATGTACATTTTTACTACAATGAAAAATTAAGACTATAAAACATTATGTACAATTTCATGTAAAGGATGTTTTAAAATGTAATTATCTATCATACCTATTTCTATGCGTGTACAAATATTGAATTAAATACATAAAAAATATATGGTGGAAATTCTGATAGTGTGATTGCAGTTGAATCATTTTTCTTTTAATTTCAAATCTAATTTTTCTAAATTGAAATTAAGTTACATTTATAATCAAAGATATACTTAGAGCAGTAATTTCACATAAGAATGTGCTTCAGATCTTGCTTCTTGCTTACACTGCAGTAAGTGAAATCGAAGAAGACTGGCTTGATGAGAAGACAAAGTTTTGTCTCTTATCCAGAATCAGCCATTTCCTTTATTTAAGGTATGCATTTATTTAAAGAAAAACTCACTTAAACCACTGTCACCATTCTAGTTCTCCAATTTTTACCAGGCACAACTTTCTTGTCTGTGAGGGATCTTGAGACATGCTAAGCTCTTTATTCCTGTCTCTTTTGCCATTAAGGCTTCTGCTTGCTATTGCTTACTGGAGAAGCTTTTTCCACACCCCAACACTGTTAGCTGCAGATTGCCCACAGGTTGCGGACTCACTTGAACTACTTCTTTTGACATCACTTTTGCTAGTTATGGTGGAATGACAAGGAGCAACTGTATCTTAAGAATGGACATAAAAATAGTAGTTTAAAAACAATGTTGCTGCTAAGGCTACAGTAGGGGGTCTGAATAAGTGAAGGAATGGGTCAGGAGGTGAAATATGGAAAATACTATGATCATCCACTCTTTTTAGATTTATTTATTTGAAAAAACAGAGGGGTGGGGAGTCTTCCACCTGCTGGTTCACTCCCCAAATGGTCACAATGATTGGGGCTGGTCCAGGCCAAAACCCAGGAGCCCAGAATTCCATCCAGGTCTCCCACATGAGTGGCAGGTGACCCTCCACTTTCTCACAGTTTTGCTACTCTTGCTCTTAAGTCCTCAAAGGCTCTACCCAGCATTTTCCCCTATAGTCCCTTTTTCAGAGAAATAGCCATTCTCCTCCATCAGCATCACCTTTATCAGTGGCTCAAAAGCAGCACTACCAGGCTCGTCTTGAACCATCACCACTGGTAGAAGCTGCCGTCATGCCTAATTCTTTGCCCTCTTCTTCCACTACCATTTCTACTCTTCCTCTATTGTACTATATTTACATTCAGGAAGAAAAAATAACCACACACACTCATACCTACAAATATACACAGGCTATTATGACATAAAAAATACTACAGTATCTTCCCCTTGCCTCCAAAAATGGTTTTGTGTTTGTTCTCCATGACACCTCCCTTCTTTTGCTGTACTCCTGTCCCCAGTAATGAAGGTCATTATTGTTTATTAGTCATGTCTTCCAGAAAAGTATTTGGGGAAGTGGGCATTTGGTACAATGGTCTAAATACCACTTGGGATGACTGAATTCCCTATCAAAGTGCCTGAGTTTGAGTCCTGGCCCACTCCCAATTCCAGCTTCTTGCTAATATGTACCCTGGTAAGCAACATATGATGGTTGAAGTATTTGGATCCCTTCTACCCATGTGGGAGGTGCAGATTGAGTTCGTGGCACCTAGTTTTAGCCTGGCTCAGCCTGGGCTGTTAAAGGCATTTGAGGAGTAAACCAGCAGATGGAACATGTGTGTGTGTGTGTGTGTGTGTGTGTGTGTGTGTTTTAAAGGTTTATTTTATTCACTTACTTGAAAGGCAGGGTTACAGAAAGAGAGGAAGAGGGAGAAATCTTCCACCTGCTGGCTAACTCCCCAAATGGCTACAATGGACTGAGATTGGCTGCAGTGGCCAGGACTGGGCCAGAGTAAAGCCAGAAGCCTGGATCCTCTTCTGGGTCTTCCACGTGGGTGCAGGGGCCCAAGGTCTTGGGCCATCTTCTGCTGTTTTCCCAGGGGCATTAAAAAGGAGTTGTATTGGTACAGCCGGGACTCCAACTGGAGCCCATATGTGGTGCAGGCATTGCAAGCGGCGGCTTTACCCTGCAGTACTAGAATGCTGGCCCCTTGTGTGTGTCTTTCAAAAATCAATAGAGAAATTTCTGGTATGAATGGATTGCTTTTGTTATTCCCCCTCATCCCACCACACTAATTTCAAGAAGGTATCCAGATCTTTGCCACCCCTTATCTCAGGGAACATTTATGCTGCCAGCCTGCATTTGGTTTTCTATAATCCTGAACATATTGACAGAATAATGCTGAGAAATGAATCACTTAGAGAACAAAAACAAAGTAAGCAGATCCTTGCTCATGATACCTAAGCACTACATACCCCATGAGAAGACTCCAGAGAGAAGAAAGGGCCTCAGAAGGGAATGCCTACATGGTGTATGTAAAGAGATTGGTATCAGGGATTTCAGCATTGGCAAGCATTCCCATTCCCCACCGATCTTGGAATAGCAGACATGCCCACCTTCCTTCAAGGTACTATGCAGATGTGGAGAGTGAGAGCAGCAGGGACAATTATGGTGAATTAAAGATCTCATGTACACTCCCCCAATTCTTGGGTAACTCAAAGGAAGAGAAGAGCCCTTGAGGAGTGACTGAGAATGAGCCTTCTTTCTCAGTGGGATGGGAAAAGGATTTAAGCTACCACCTCTGAGCAAAACTGCCCAGAGACACACATAACACGTAAGACACTGTAGGCAAGTGCACACTCTTTATTACTAGTTTGAGTCAGAAAATCCCTGGCAAAGGTCGATCTCCTTGAGGTAGGCTGAATTTCTTGGGGAAACTCCAGGACATGTTTTGTTCAGACTAAATAAGTATCTAAAAGCCTCACCCTCTGGGATCTCTCTTGCCTTGTAGAAGCTGGCCTTGGGGAGCAGAAAGCCTGTAGAGGACATAGCCCAGGGGCATTGTCAAGAGTGTTCCTCCTTTTCAAACCAGTCTAGTTCTATTTTTAAGCCAATCAGTCCTCCCAAGAGAAGTACCATCCATAGCCTGGTAACTTCAATGTCTGCGCTTGATTGCTGTTGACTGGAAAGGGACTAGGGATGGGGCTTAGCTTCAAGCTAAGGCCAGAGTATGCAGACAACACTCCTCCAAGCACTGTCTTTCTTTAAGGCAACCAGTGGTCTTTTTAGGCAGCCTGACTGAATACCAGAAAAACAGCTGGCCCTCTCAGGGGAATAAATCAGCAGAGGATCAGAAAAGTTCTGCTTCCATATTCATGAGGTCTTTTTCCTGATTTCTGCTGCTGCTCATCTATCTCACTTGGGACCAAATGGGATGAATAGCTTGGTCACGCAAGTTCTTCTGAGTTGCCCCCAGAACTGCAAAAATGGACCTGGATGTCATTTTAATTTTTTTCAAAAAAAAAAAAAAAGGAATCTGCCAAAATAGATCTGGATGTTATTTCAACTGGTTTCGCCAAAAATAGATTTGAATGTTATTTCAATTTCAATTTGTTTTACCCCAAAATAGATCTGAGTGTTATTTCAAATGGTTTTTCCCAAGGCCACATTACAAGCAAGGCAAATAAGACATCCATGATGAAATTGTGTCCCAAATTATGCTCTCTCCTATCATCTAACCAGATTCACTAAAATTGATTATGATGTGTGCACCAAATAATAACATATAAGTCTAGCTTCTAACACAAAGTAGACTCTAGCTATCTTTAAAGAATTAAATAAATTCATTTGAATTTGCTATCACCTATGCAATTTAACACTACAACCCCAACAATGCTTTCAAGTTCATTTCTTGTTCCAATGGAGAAATAAAATTCTAATAAAACCTATCTTGCTCTACCTTTTCTCCCTAATGAGTGATAACATATCTCTTCTCTCACTTTTCTGGAATATTTTCACTCCTTGAGGTCTCACTGAAGTGTGGGTCCATCAGAATCAAGGTCTTGTTTCTTTGGCTTTTGGAGAACTTCTAATAGGACAGGTTCAGTTTCTTCGGCAACAAGAAGTTTGATGGGGCTGAGAATCAAAAACAGGAACTCACCTATGAAATTCAAAACAAAAAGATACAAACATGAGAATCACAGCAGTTTCCAAAGGAACAAGAGCATTTTTCAAGGAAAAGTGATGTTCCTAAAATTTAATATAGCTTGTAACTCTAAACTAACATGGCTGCTCCCAGCCAAATACTTACACATGGCAATTCCAGGAAAAAGAGGTAAAGAGGAATTCAGAAAGAAATGAAAAATTTTTAAAAAATGGCTTCATGATTTCAGCTTTGCCATGGTGACAGCCAGTCAGTATCAGCCAGCCAGAATGCATCACCTGCAAAACTTAACTGCAATTATGAGAAATCCACCACTTAATGACACTATGACAGTCAAAAGCAGCCCACTTTGTTAAAAAAATAAATAAATAAAAATACATATTTGCATGCATTTGTGTGTATATGTACCCACAAGGGAAAAAACATGGTCAATCCAGGTAATATAGGATGATGGACTATTTTATTTAATTTTCTCTGTGATAATTTTGCTTTCAAATTTTCTTTGAAGTTACTAAGATAGTTTTTATTTTAGGAATTTTTTTTTCTCTTAGGAATGTTTTCATTCTTACCTTTCTGAAATTAGTGAGTTTTCCCTGGGTCAACACCTCCACTTTTAATTGGCACATAGATTTTCTTGCATCTATAGCAGGATGCACGCCATGAAAAATTACTAGATTTACACCAAGGACAGTCCCAATTCATTGGATTACAGCCTGGGGCAGCCTTCTGTTGGAATTCTGAGGCTTTTTTCCCTTTTGGTTGCTTAGCTTTCTGAGATGGAACCTGCTGTTTCTTTAAGCATTTCTTCACACTACTGTTCTTGCTGTCACTAAGAGGGGTTGCCAGGGGTTTCTCTGGACGTTCCTCCTTGCTATGATTACTGTTGTGCCCGAAGGAGACCTTCCCATAGGGCACCACTGTATCTTCTTTTTGGTCAAAGTTTCTGCTGAGTCCCAGGGAGACTGGATATTTCTTCAGGTCGTGGCTGCTACTCTGTCCCAGAGGGGCCGTCCCCTGGGGCATCACAGCAACTTTCTTTTGGTTCAGGCTGCTGTTCTCTTTCACAGGACCCATTCCATTGAGCATCGCTGAATCTTTGATCTGGCCAAGGCTGCTGCTCGGTCCCAAGGTGGCAATGCTATTGGGCTTCAATGTATCTTTCTTTTGGCAATAGCTGCTGCTCTCTCCCAGGGGGGCCTTTGCCTGGGGCATCAGTGGATCTTTCTTTGGGCCCTGACTGCTGTTCTGTCTCAGTGGGGCTGTCTCTTGGAGCACTGCTGGATTTTTCTTTTCATCATGGTTCCTTCTATGCCCCAGGGGGGTGCTTTCATTGGGCACCACTGGAACTTTCTTCTGGGTGTGGCTACTGCTCTGTGCCACAGTGGACATCCCCTGGGGTGTCACTGGATCTCTCTTCTGGGCAAGATGGCTGCTGGGCTCCAGGGGGGCCATCTTATTTGGCATTACTGGATTTACTGGATCATTCACCTGGCCAGGGCTGCTGCTCTGTCCCAGGGGGACCATTCCCTGGGACATCACTGGATCTTTCTTTTGGTTGTTGTTGCTGCTCAGTCCTTCTGGGGCTGTCTCCTGAGGCATCACTAAATCTTTCTTCTGATCACGGCTACTCTGTACCAAGGTGGCCACCCTCTGAGGCATCATCGGATCTTTTTTCTGGTCAAGGCTGCTATTCTGTCCCAGGGGCTCCACCTCCTGGGGAATTACTGGATCGTTTTTCTGGTCTGGGTTGCTACTCTGTCCTATGGGAGTCACTCCCTGGGGCATCCCTGGTTCTTTCTTTGGGTCATGGCTGCCACTTTGTCCCAAAGGGACCAACCCCTGGGACATCATTATAACTTCCTTTTTTTCCGGGATGCTGTTGTGTCCCAAGGGAGCTGTACCATGGGGACACCCGGGTTCTTCCCCTTGGCAGTTGCTTCTAGTGTCCGCCAGATAACTTCCCTCCTGGAGGTTTTCAGGATATTTAAACCAGCCATTGCAATTCGGGTCACACAAATGGGCCATTGCCTCTTGGGATCCCACTGTAGCCCACACACCAGCTGGGATCATTTCAGGATGGAACTGGGAAGCACTTTCTGCCAGTGCAGTTGATGTCCCTGTTGCTGATGATCCTACCGCTTCTGACTCCATTAGTACTGCAGGTGGTGCTACAGGTGTTGCGTATGGGAATCCCACTGGCAATGGTGCATGGCATGGGTACGGATATGTCACTGATACTGGCAGAGGGGGTTGCATCGCCGGAACCCAGGGACCTGGTGTTGGCATGTAGAGTAAAGTTCCTGGGACTGGCATTTGGGCCTCCAAATGTGGCACGCCTTGTGCCCCCAAGGCCACCTCTCTTTGCTCTTCACCCAGGGGCCATGCTATAGCAGCAAGCTGGTCAACTCTTGGACCTTGGACAACCTCCTGGGGCAGCTGGCAAGCCTGTGAAGACTTTTCAGCCTGCAGCAGCCTCCAGCGCATAAGGTCCCGCTCATCTGTCGCCTGCTGCAGGGCAGCCTGTGTGTACCGTAGCTGTGCAGTTACACCCTCGCGCTCCTCACGCAGCCGCTGTAGCTCGGAGGCTAGAGCCAAAGATGCCGCTTCGCGCTCCTCTACCTGCTCCAGCAGCTGATGGAGGCTAATAGCCTGCTGCTCCCTCTGCCTCGCGGCAGCTCTCACACCCAAAGCCAGCGCACTCCAGGCACAGGCCCTCTTGAGGGCACGCGGTACCTGCGGGTCGACCACGACTGCCTGAAGCCGGTCCTCCACCTCATTCCAGGATCGGGAGCGGAAGGCCACGTAGAATTCCGGCCCGCCGCCATTCATGAGGACTTCATCGTTGATAAAACGGATCACCTCGTTGTGGCGGAAACCACTGGCGTGATCCCCGAAGTCCACAGCCATGGCCGCCGCGGGCCAGTCAGGCAACCGCCCTCCGGAATGCCGTCGTGGCACTTCCGGTACCAGTGGCAGCTGCCACCGGCCCGCCCCTCACCTCCCAAGTCAGCCCAGTCTCAGTCCTTGCCCATTTCCGGCGAAACACTTGGCATCTTTCTCTCGCCTTCCCCTCCGGTCGTCACTCAGCGAGAGACTGATCCCTCACAACACCAACCGCAGGCCAGTGACGAGATAATACGTCACAGAGAAAAGCGCTGAGTCGCGCACGCAAGGCCTTCTGGGACAGCCTCACATGCCACAGCGCCACCTACAGGGGAGGCAGAGTTGGTGCCAGTGCTGGAGGCTGCAGTGAGCCTGAGAAGGAGGCGGGGAGCAGATTTTTTGGAGATCTGGTAAGGATGGGACTTTCAACCACACACACACAACACTCCTGGTTGGCTAGGAAGAGTGGGTTAGAGGAAACTGAAGAGTTAATGGACAAGTGGGTGAGGATGGGGCAGGGGATGGGGACAGGGGGAGTGATGGGTTGCAGTTAGGTGGAGGAGAATAGGCTGTTCAGAGACATGAACAGAATGAAAGCTGGGAAAATTAGCAAAACCCAGGACTGGAGAAGAGAAGCAGGGCAACCTTGAGACAAAGGTGTGAGATAGAAGGCTGGGCTTACAGAGCTGCTGTGGGGAAGACTCTAAGGTGGAAGTAGAACTCAGGTTCAGTTGTGTTTCCTGCACACAAGTGAACTTAGAACCTAGCAGTTGTGGAAAATTACAAGGCCCAAACCTCAGGTAAAGGCTGGCAAGGGACCCTAGAAAGAGCATCACTGAATTAGCTGAGTAGATAAAGAGGAAAGGAAAATTAGACCACGAAAGCATTCTTGGAATATGGGAGCTATCAAGGACAGGAAGCCACAGATGCATGCATGACTTAATTCAGAGAAAAGAAGGAAAAGACCTTTCAGAACTCAGCATTCTAGACTGAAGCACTCTGGTGGATGAGATGATAATGTACATATGTGAGGTAGAATTGAATCCTAAGGGCTGGTGTTGTGATGCAGCCAGTTAAGCCACTGCCTGCAACCGCAGCATCCCATATGAGCACTGGTTGGATTCCCAGCTGCTCTACTTCTTATCTAGCTCCCTGCAAATGTGCCTAGGAAAACACCAGACAATGATCCAAGTACTTGGGCCCCTGCCACCCATGTGGGGGATCTGGAAGGAGTTTCAGGCTCCTGGTTGTGGCCATTTGGGGAGTGAATCAGCAGATAGAAGTTTCTCTCTCTCTCTCTCTCTCTCTCTCTCTCTCTCTCTTCCTTTCTCCCTCTCCCTCTGTCTCTCCTGTCTCTGTAACTCTGCCTGTCAAATAAAATAAATAAATGTTTACCAAAAAGGACACCACAAGGCTTGTGAGAGGGTTTTGAATTATATAGTGGAGTAAGGCTACCGCTCCTTCTCATAGTTCCCAGTAGCCATCCTGTCTTCAAGACTCCAGCATAGTTCCTGTCTCACTCGCACAGGAATAGTTTTTCTCAACTTTAAAACTAAGTCTGTCATCCATTATCTGGATCCTAGACTCTCCCATATCCTCAGGGAGTTCAGAAAAATTCATTCTCTCTCCACTGTCTTGTTAACCTTTTCATTGTTGGTTCCTTCTACATCATGATATGAGCATGTTCATGTGTTTTCCAGCTGTGTAATGTTCTTTACATTTCTGATATCTTAACTTACACCCATAAAACCACAGAAAATATTCTAAGGGCACAGACCAGTAATACAAGTTTCTTTTAATTTGTCTTTTCTTTAGCCTTTGAGTCTTGACCATGTCCTTTTTGAAATACAATCATCCATTTTTTTTTCTGCAACACCAGGTTTCATTGATTTTCTTATTGTCTCTCTAGCTGCTGCTTCTTAGTTTCCTTTTACTGAATGCTGTGCTTCCATTTTACCCCTTAAATACTGGAGCGACCCTGAGTTTTGTTCTCAGACCACTCGGACCTCAGACACTCTCCTTCATTCCAGATACTATTTATATGTGATCCCATCTATTAATTGCTTAAAGACTCTGAAAACTTTACAAGTGGGGCTGGTACTGTGGCGCAGCAGGTTAAAGCCCCAACCTGCAGCACCAGCATCCCATATGGGTGCCGGTTCATGTCCTGGTTACTATACTTCTGATCCAGCACTCTGCTTATGGCATGGGAAAGCAGCAGAAGGTGGCCCAAGTGGGATACCTGGAAGAAGCTCCTGGCTCCTGGCTTCAGATCGGCTCAGTTCCATCTGTGGTGGACATTTGGGGAGTGAACCAGTGGATGAAAGATCTCTCTCTCTCTCTCTCTCTCTCTCTCTCTCTCTGTGTGTGTGTGTGTGTGTCTACCTCTCTCTTTAACTCTGTCTTTCAAATAAATAAAATAAAATTTAAAAAATATTTAAAAAACCTTTATAACAAGTCTTGTGTCAGATACCTAAGCAACAACAAATACACCTTCACCTGGATCTTTCATAGCACCCTCATTCTCCACAAGTTTCAAACTAACCAATACTACTCTGGATTAAAAGCTTGTCAAGTTTCTCGATATTTCAATGGATCTACTTCTTCAAGGGGTTGTTGCAAGCATGAAAGAAGAAAGTACAGTAATCCCCTCCCACTTATCTGGGGAGGATATAGTCTAAGATGCCAAGTAGATGCCTGAAACTGGATACTACCAAACTTCATATATACTGTGTTTTCCCTCTACAAATACACAAAGTTTTAATGTCATTTCCATCTGAACTAGGAACTTACCACAGTGTGGCCATTACTTTTTTTACTTGAGGTATAAATGCAAAACTAGCCTGAATTTCTTTCCTGTTTTGCAATTTCTTTTTTAAAAGGTTTATTTATTTATTTGAAAATCAGAGTTACGCAGAGAGAGAAGGAGAGACAGAAAGAGAGAGAGAGAGAGAGAGAGAGAGAGAGAGAGGTCTTCCAACTGCTGGTTCACTCCCCAATTGCCAACAACTGCCAGAGCTTCACTGATCTGACGCCAGGAACCAGGATCTTCTTCCCTATCTCCCTAGCGGGTGCAGGGGCCCAAGGACTTGGGCCATCTTCTACTGCTTTCCCAGGCCATAGCAGAGAGCTGGATCAGATGTGGAGCAGCTGTGACTCCAACCAGCACTCACATGGGATGGCAGTGCTGCAGGCGGCGGCTTTACCTACTACACCACAGTGCTGGCCCACTGTTTTGCAATTTTGTGGATAGAAGATTTATTCTTAGCAACCCCAAATTGAGAACTTTCATCTTTTTCCCTAAATGAAGCATTTTATGGCTTCTCTTTGGCATACTCAAAATCACCAGCGTCACTACTCATACACTTTCAGGCTTTTATTAAGTAAAATAAGTGCTACTTGAACACAAACACTGTGCTATCTTGATATTAGATCTGAGAGCCATGATAGCTCCTAAGTGACTAATGAGCAAGTAGTGTATATATATAGCAAGGATATGCAAGACAAAAGGATGATTCATGCTCTGGACTGAATAGGAAAACTTAAGATTTCATCACTCAAAATGAATTGTAAATAAAACTTATGAATTATTTATTATTTATTTACTTTCCTTTTATTTGAAAATCAGACAAAGGACAAAAAGAGAGAGAGAGCGAGCACTAGTTGACTCCCTAAATGCCTGTAACAGCCAGGGTTGGGCCATGTGGAAGCAAGGAGCCCAGAAACTAATCCAGGTCTCTCACATGCATGGCAGGGAACCAAGTACTTCAGTCATAATCTGTTGCCTCCCAGGGTATGTATTTGCAGGAATCTAACCCTGAATTAGAATAGCAGGGACTCAAACCATGTACTCTGGTTTGGGATGTGGGCATCCCAAGTGGTGACCTAACAACTGTGCCCACCCATGAATTATTTATTTGTGTAATTTTACATTTCATACTTTTGGATTGCCGTTGACCATAGGCAACTGAAACAATGGAAACTGAAACTGTGGGTAAGGGGGAATGCTGCATAAGTCATTATTATTTTCATCATCACCACCCATATTATCTAAAAAGTCTCATGGAGAAGGTGGGATTTTAACAATGGGTAGGATTTAGATGAGGACAGTAAGGGAGAAAACAAATGTGAAACCAATAAAATATGTTTGTTGCTTAAATTGGCTGCTTGGGCAAGATTAGTACTTGAATTCATAGGACAATTGGTTCTTGTGCTCTCATTCTATTATGCTTTTAGAATCTGGCATCTGGTCCCCCACCTACCTGCCTTCTACATTTCAGTTATTTCCATGGATGCTCTTTGCTAGAGCTACACATCTGATACCATCAAGGAGGCACCATGTGTGTACTGGCATTTGTGTTATTTCCAGGATCTATGTTGCCTTCTGGGTGCTAAAGGCATCATCTGCTTCTGATCAGAAACAAAACATATTCTGTATATGAAAGTAGTAACAATAGAGTTGTTGGGAAGTACAACACAATACTTAGAGTATACAGAAAAATGAAAAATACCCATTAGGATATAATTATAAGGGTAAATGTTTATATAACAGTATATTTTTAGGTTAGTCAAAAAAAAAAAGAAAAAGAAAATAAAATTTCTGATATGACCCTGAAAAACAAATTCAATGTATTTATCTCTATAGGTAAGATAACAGCTTCCCCTGAAAACAATTTTTTCATAGTGGGACCACTTCAGCATGGCAAGTTTTGAATAAATATTAGGAGCAGCATTGTGTTGCCAAACATGTTAAAAAAAACACTGAAGTGTAAGAGGAGCAGTTGTCAATATTACCAGCTCTAATTCTCAAGTTGGCACTAATGGTTACATATTAAATGAAGATACTAATTATTCCTAAACTAAATCTAATATTCACTGATAATCTTTACTATAGTGCTTTGTGTATCCATGATATAAACAATAATAATGATGCTAATAAAAGGTTTATCTTCTGGGTAATATATACAACAAATAATTTCATATTTACTGTGTGCTAGGGGCTATGCACACTTTGTGTGCGTTAACTGTTACAATCATCACCAAAACCATGAGAGTTAAGTAAACAATATTACCTCCATTTCTACAATAAGTAAAATGGGGCTTGAAATACCTAATTTTTTTTTTAACAAAGAGCTACAGGCCTTACGTGGGGAAGCAGGAATTAATACCTTAATTCATCTGAGTGCAAAAGCCATGATCCTGGGGCCAGCACTGTGGCATAGCAGGTAAAGCCATTGCCTGCAGTG